ATATCTAATAAGGATATACAGATGTTAGTTGATGAAATAAGATGATAAAGTTTATGTGAAGAAATGGAAAAGATAGATAGAAAATAAAATATTTATAATTGATTGTATAAAAATAGTTGAAACAATGAAAACAATACTTTTAGATTGGAAATTAAAAGTAAATTAAGTTTGGGATCAATTCAAAAACCTAACTAAATTTAGAGATAGTAAGAAAATATTAGAGAAAATAAAGGAAAATATTAAAAATGATGAAGAGTTTGTACAATCATAGCCTATAATTAAACTAGAAAGTGGCTTCAATTTCCCATCCAAAAACTATTAGGAATGGAGTCAATCTCATACTAGATTTATATGGGATTTTTCTTATAATCGATTTATCTAAACCATATACTAAATCAAATTTCCAAAAGAAAATAAAAATTAAATACAATATATTTTGGATGGAGCATACTGAGATGGTAATACATGATTTATTTTTACTAGCCAAAATATTCTAGACATCCAAGAGGAACCTTAAAAATTGAATAATTTAGAGTAGATTAAATATCTAAATTGGGTTGTAGAGTGCGGATAAAATAAAAAAAGAATTGGGAGATGGGTAGCAACATGGAACGGAGAGGTTCTATAAGAGGTAGGTGGAAAATACAAAAATGGAGAAAAATAAGGTTTTTGGAAAGAGCCAATATCAAATTATTGGGCTAAAGGTATGATTTATTTTTATAAGTCTAGCCAAAGCCTTTGAAATAGGAGAATACATTAATAATGTAAAGAGGGGATTTTGGATGTTTATATATAAAGATTAAGAGATGTAAGATTATTTATTAATAAAAAAGAGGAGGAGGGGAATATAATTAATATGGAGAAAAGAATGGAGAATGGATAGAGTTAAGTGAGGGCTTTTGTAACGATTCTTAAGTAACTTATAAAGGGCAATATAAAAATGGGATAAAAATTGATAAGTGGAAAACTTTTATGGTTCACAATGGAAATAAAAAAATGATGTATATAATATAATTGTTGGACCATAATCCTTTAGTGGTGGGGGATCATATGACAACCTTGGAGTTAAATATGGGCAATGGATTGATATTAGTAAAGAATTTTAAGCTGATTAATTCATAACTTATAAAGGTTAATATTAAAACGGTCGAAGAGTTGGTCAATGGAATATTTTCTATAGCGAATATAATTTATAGGATGATTTGATAGATGAATTAATGTAAAAAATATATTTACTTTATTAGTGGAGGTGGATTGTATGATAAAGATGCTAAAGGACTTAAAATTGGGTAATGGACTGATATTAGCAAAGGATTTAACAATAATTCGTATGTAACCTATCATGGTTAATACATAATTGGTCAAAAAGTTGGTAGATGGAATACTTACTATAGGAGATCAAAGAAAAAGTAAGATGAATTAATGTAAAATTTATATTCCATTACTATCAATAGTGGTGGGGGATTATATGATGAAAATGGGAGCGGCAAGAAGATTGAAAACTGGATTGAACTTGCGGATTGTTTTAAAGATCTTTCGTAAGTAATTTATGAAGGGTAATACATAAATGGAAAAAAAATTGGCAGATGGGAAATTAAATATAGATCAGATGATTTGCATGTTTTTGAGAGAATGTACATTTTATTTATTAAACTAATCTATTAGTGGAGGGGGACAGTATGATGAAGTAAATCTTGGAATGAAGGTTGGTAATTGGATTGAAATTAGCAATGAATTCAATCGCACTTCATAAGTTATGTATTATGTTACATATAAAAATGGTAAAAAAGTTGGGGAGTGTAAAATTATGTACAAGTATGATGCTTCAGATCTACCTTCATTAATGTAAAATATATATATATTGATAAAATATGCTATATTAGTGGAGGAGGATGTTACAATGAAAAAGGAAACAAAATCGGGTAATGGGCAGATATTTTTATTGGATTTAAAGATTAATTATAGATAATTTAATAAGGTAAATACAAAAATGGAAAAAAAATTGGTAGTTGGATTATTATATAGATGTTAAACAATGATTCAAAAAATGAAGAGATGTAAAAATTATAGTTAGTACTTAATTTTAGTGGAGGTGGATCATATGATTAAGAAGGTGAAGGTATTAAGATTGGTAAATGGGTTGAGATATGCGAAGGATATTCAACTTAAGCTTAGATAATTTATGATGGTGAGTATAAGAATGGTAAAAAAGTTGCTAAATGGAACATTAAGCATAGGAACTCTGCAGATGAATCATTTGTAGAGATGTAAGAATTTTTAATTAAAACCATATGTTTAAGTGGGGGTGGTGCTTATGATGAATAAGGTATTAAGGTTGGTAACTGGAAGGAAATTAGTGATGAATTTAAAAATTCCTCATAAATTATCTGGAATGGCCATTATGAAGATGGGAGAAAAAAAGGGAATTGGGAAATTTTGTATTAAAGAAAAAGCAAAACTAATTATTAAAAGATGTAAAATTTTATATCAATTTTAAAAGTGGAGGTGGTTTGTATGATTACTAAAATTACTGTCTAATGCATGGCCAGTGGATATAAATTAGCGAAGGATTCTCGAATTCTTCTTAGTTGATTCATAAAGGTGAATATAAAAATGGGCAAAAAGTTGGTAAATGGGAGACTTAATTTAGAGAGTATGTAGATCAACCATTTTAATCGATGTAAATTGATATATTTGCTTATAATTTAATATTTTAGTGGTTTTGGATGTTACGAATAAAGGAATGGCATTAAGAATGGAAATTGGACTGAACCTTCTTGGAGATTTTGGGATGAAACATAAATTATTTATGAGGGCGAATATTATAATGATAAAAAGATTGGCTTATGGATGGAAAAGAAGAGAGAAAAAGGAAATGTGGACAGTTTTCGAAATTAAAGAGAAATAGTCTATGATCATAATGATGATTGAATATTATTATCAATAAATTATTTTACTTTTTGCTACATAGCTATTCAACAAAAAGAATATAAATAATTAAATTTTATTTTACAATTTCATAAAAGAGAGGATTAAGAAGAAAAATTTATGTTAGGTGAACACAATTCTATTATATAGTTATTTTATTAAAATAAATTTTTGAGTAAATTTTTATAAAATAAAAGGATTTAGACAAAGAAAATGTGATAATTAATTAAGTTGAACAATAATGCTAAGGATATAATAAAACAAATATTGTAAAGATTTGAATCAGTAATAAGAGTCTTATTGCTTAAGAGAATCTTCAAAGAATTCATAAATTGAAATGTTACCCCCAATTATTGTGTTTTATACTACTGATATCAGATTAAAGTTATTATAAAACCAAAATTTTTTACAAACATTTTTGTTATATTTATTAAACAGATATCGCTATTAACTCTGTAAAGGATTTAATCATACTTCTTTTCTTGCTTAAAATTATTTATGTGGACAAGATAAATTTTATAAATAATTCTTTTAAATAAATATTTCTATTTTGTGCGCGTAAATAACAATAACTTTTTTAAGGAATAATTGTAAGATTTCCAATTTATACTTTTGATATGGCGATTATCAACATATGTACATGGATATCTGAATAGCAGTGTAGTATAAATCCTTATTATAAACACTATTAAAATTTTGAAGAATAGAATTAAACTATGATTATAAATCTAATTTCAACCTACAACATCTCTGTAATTGATGATAGTTCAAGTCAATATTTAAAATCTTCACATTGTATTTTCTTTAAATAATCAAATTTAGGATGATGCAAATTATATTAAAAGGGAATTAGATTAGTATTTAATGACAATATTCTATATAGTTTATTATCATTCTTGATCGAGCAAGCTATTTCATATTTTGCATAATCTTGTTCATCATTAAAAGGAAATATTGTGTCATAGACATAAGATGTAGTAAAAGATGGTTCATATATTTGAACTGCACTCTAAATTGAAACACCAACTTGTAGTTCCCCTTCTAAATGCACAAATGTACCCCGACTTTCAAAGATGTACAACATATGAATATATTGTGGTTTAAGTATTGCTTTTGCAGATGTATATAATATAATAATATTTTGTTACTAGAATAAATACTATAAGAATATATTATATTAAATTTTATTATGCAATCCTCTTCTGTTTGCTCTGCTATTAAAAGTGATTATAATTTATTAGCTCTTGGGCATCTCAATGTAGATTAATCGAAGTATTTTGTGTCTGCACTGAGGCAAAATGTGAAGATTTACCCTTGTCTGTTAGTTGTGAAAATTATTGCCCTGCATATTCTATAATGAGCACTTTCATTGGAACTGGAAATTGTTGTGCAACTAAGGGAGCATGTACTACTTATAACAAGAAGGAAATATCCGCAGAGTTGAGAAGTGTTATATGCTATAGCCACATTAATAAGTGATTCTGAATGTTATTCATTTATTGAAGGCTGTGTCAGTAATGGTGCTGGATGTATGAAGTCTAAATTCCCTTGTGATATCCTTAAGACATAAGTTCAATATCTCTAAAACTTTTCTCTTCGGCCATGTATCTGGATTAACAAAACTTGTAGTTAATATTATAATTGAACTGATCTGGTAAACAAGCGTAGCTGCATAAAGCTGTTTCTAAGAATTGCACAAAAGATGAAAACAAGGGCAATTCTTCAAAGATTTGTGTCAATTCAGATAGTGTTTGTAGTTGGGTTATAAATACTAAAAAGTGTTAAGCCTTTACATAATGCTCAGATTAGTTTCCAAAGTGAACACAGAGAATTCTCCCTGCAATCCTAAATGTATTTTCAATAGAACAAACTGCATTGAAAAGGATGAATGCTCTCCTTATGCTGAAAGTGAGGCTGCTTGCATAATTTAAGGAACTGATAGCAATTTTCCATTGATAAGAGTACCTCAACACGTAGGTTAAGAAAATGCTTTGATTTCAATTCAACGCACTAATAATATACCACAGATGAATCTACATGTATACCCTTGGCTGATTGTTTATCAATGCAAAGTATGAGGAAAGTTTCAGATTATTGTACTAATGTATTTTGTAGTGCAGGTGGAATCGATGGTGTTTGTATATTCAATTATTTACTCAATGTTCAAATGACAATTCGGATTTAAATCGCTGGACAATCTATGCCCTTAACCTGCATATTTGATTGTTGCAACATGGACTACTCCTTGTTCATGTGTTAATCATATTTGTGATTCCGATCGCTAAAGGGACAGCCAAAGGTGTCATTATTCCAAGATTTTGATTGTCAACCTCAAGGAGGAGAATGTGTTGTAGTGACCAAGTTCTTTAATTTAAGATTACTTGCTATAAAATGAATTAGTACATCTATAGTTGGAATGTTTTGACAAAGAAATGTATTGTATGCGGAGCAGGATCCTCCTCAAATAATTATTCAAAATCTGTTAATAAGAGTGTAGATAATACAGCTAACTCTGCAACTAACAACAATTAGTCTTCTTTATAACAAAATTGAAATGATTCATATTCAACAATAATCATCTTATTTTTTCCAAATAGAAGCATTTTATGAAGGAACTTTTTAGGTTCTTAAAATTTTCTTAATGTAACTTATTTAGTGTAATTAAATCAAATGTTATGATAATATAAGTTGTCTATTAATCTTTTCTTTAAATCATTATTCACTGATAATAAAATAATTTATAGATGATGATTTATCAATAGATTAAGAAATGCAAAATATAGAAATCAATGATAATCTATAATTATTGTGAATCAAGATAATTGGTGTTCAACCAACTCTATCAATTTGGAATAGTTACCATTTAATATTACATACTCTACATCAATCAATTTGTAACATTCCAGAAAAAATATATTATTGTAGAGCCTGATATAAACTGCTTTTAGTAATTTTAATATAATTATCAATTTATTTAATTTATACGATTGTAAATAAATATTTATCATTAATGGCAACCTTAACAGCAGTCTGCCAAACACTAACAACATGCTTTTAAGCAGTCTGGCAATTTCTTACAACATTCCTCTAAACATTACAACAACGTCTTTAGAATTGTATATATGATACAACCAATAAAATATAAAATTAAGACAGTAATATCTAAGTACAAGTAGAGAGCACCAGAAACATACTAATTTGTCTTAAGCGAAAACTTTCATAGTTTATTATAATACTTTTCCTGATATCATCAATTTTGTATCTATTATGAGCAGACCTCCATAGATTACATGGCAAAAAAAGCAAGCAATTAATACTCCAACATAATAAGGAGCAGTCATGATAAATATGAATAACAGAAATATCATCACACCAATAATTGAGAATATGATCACTTAATAAATGATGAAATTATTACGATTTGAATTTAATGAAGACTATCTTCTAATTAAGAATAAAATTAAGCATGCGTAACATCCTAAAGTCATTGTAAAAAAATATAACAGGATTATCCAATCTTCGCCAGAATAGTAGCCATACTATAACAACAATGATAGAGGATAACCAAAACTATAGGCTGCTCCAATCGTGAATGTAAAGTAAAATATCAAATTTAAAGGAAACTTTGAATTTATAAATTTATTACCTGCCTAGTTTTATCCAAGACATATCCTGCTATTCCTAATGCTATCGTAATAGCAAAGCTCCCATAATAAAGAGCAAAATGGAAGTTAAAAGTCTCATTTTCTTTTAATTTCTACGACTTTGTAAACAATAATATAAAAGTCATCAAATAAAAAGAAACAAGCATTCCAGCCAATAGAGCATAGACTTTGATAAAAAATAGCATTATTTCACCAGAAGATGCAAGTTTTTGGCATTATTAATCAATTGAAGCCTGCTTCCAACCAAATTTCTTCAAAGTATTAAAAAAGGGATCAAATACTCCATACTCCTCTTAGAATGCCACAAGAGGAAAATCTTCAGACGCTTGATCTTATTCTAAAGACATTATATAGATTAATTATTAAATTAATAAATTTTTATGGAGTATTCAATTTTATATCGAAAATGAAGGTTCTTACTAAGATCCTCCTCAAATATAAATATTTTGATATTTTCCTACAAGTTAATCATCATTTTAGAGCCATTCTATTTCACTTCATTAAGATTTGATAATATGGATTAATCAAAATTATTTGAAAATTTATTCAGATACATATCATTTTACTAATTAGGGGCTTTTGACATAATGAAGTAGCAGGATTTGAGATTTTAAGAGAAATTTCTTATAATATTTACTAATAAATAAACAGTTGAAATGTGACGAACTATTTTACTTTAATTAATTTTTTTAAACTCAATTTAATTAATTATTGTATTTTTTAGTGAATATTAACATTTAATAATTTATGACAATATTCCAATTATGCACTCACAATTAATTAATTCTTATCTCTATAGATCTGTCATTTGCTTTTTTCCTTACCAAATTTCATCACAATATATATCAATAATCAAATGATGACTTATGAAGACAACCAAATATGTCAATAATAATTTTTTGTCAATAAAACTTGCTTTAATATTAAATTGCTTGAAATATTGATTTAAGTAGTTTTGTTATCTGAGTAATATTTGAATAATACATTATCAAAAATATTAAGATAATAAATTCTTGGACAAGGATTAAAGCCTTCTTTTTATGATAATGTAAAATTGTCACTAGGAGGATTGTGATTTTGACTACATTACTAGGTCTGAAAATCAATTAAATGAATATGAAAGTTATTATGGGATTATTAGAACCATTATTTCAAAATTACATAGGGTTTGAAGATAAGTATCAGATAAAACAATAGTATGAGTTGCAGGTTATATTTTGAGAAAGTTTACGATAAAGTTTTAATTTCGCTGTGAATTATTGTGGCAGAAAGTAAGTGAAGTGTTGGAAATTAGAAAAGAATAAGTATAAATTATCAAAGTTTTAGGATAGAATTAAAGTATTAGAAAATAGTATTAAGTTAGGAAAGGTTGTTATTCATTAATATCACGTAAAGGGGTTGGGGTTGGGGTTGGGTTTGGGTTTGGGTTTGAATTTGGGTTTGGGGTTGGGTTTGGGTTTGGGTTTGGGGTTGGGCTTC